TACTTACTTTCTTACGTTCTTCTCTCTCTCTCTCTCTCTCTCTCTCTCTCTCTCTCTCTCTCTCTCTCTCTCTCTCTCTCTCTCTCTCTCTCTCTCTACGCCCGAGCTCTCTCTCTCCGTGTGTCCCTGTAGTTCACTCTAGGCTGTCAAACTGCAGCAGCTAAACATGCAACGCCAACCTGGTGACAGCGTCAAAACGATGGTATTTCTAGAAGATGCATACGCGAAGGCTACTATTCAGCAAGAAAACACGCCGTGAGTTGCCCCGTTTTTCTTTGCCGTGAGTTTTTTTTACAGAAATGCGCCGGCGCAATGCACATATTTCTCATTTTTGCCACACGTAGCGGGTGTTGTGAATAACGTCCGTATCTCGCACAGCTGGAAACTATTTACATTAAAATAAATACAGCGTAAACAAAATAATCGTGTGTAGTTGCACCAGAAAAAAACACCATGCCAAGGACAATCACGCACTACAGGCGTGTTTATTAGGCGACTGGTTGATCGATGATCTCTATTAATATTTCCCATAGTAATTAGCAAAATACTATGATCGATGAGGAAAAATGACAAAAAATTTCCAATTACATAATAGATCGCAACTCGGCCGTCGATGACGGATTATAACAATGATCTACGATTCTCAATAGATAAACGCTCTGAGAAAACGAAATTATTGATAACCGACTGAAAATATCGATCTACAATTCTCTCAATACTCAAGCGCTCGGATGAAACTAGATTATCGATGAACGCACGGAAGATCGACGATTTTCACCGCCGAACGAATAAGCGGAACCGAAATGCGATTATCGATTAGGTATCGATCAGGCGGGCCACGCGGTTAGCGCTGCTTACCGACTGGTATGTTAGCGCGCGAACAGACACCGTAGACTGCCCCCGGGATGCCGCTGTAGCACAGACACACCTCATCCGGCATGCCTGTCTGTCTCTTGAGCGCCTCCAGAGCCGTCTCGTTAGCTGTGCCTGAAATAAGGACAAAAGCAACCGATGACGGGGGCGATGATGGTAGTAAGATACGCTCCACAGTATCTCGCTCCGTAGTCTCAGCTGCATAGTCATCGGCCGTAGTGAGTGGGATGATTCTAGCGGCCGCTGGTTATACCCCAATACTTACAAATATAACGTAAAAAACATAAAATAAACGTATAAATAACGTATTAAAATAAACGTACAAAGGCGTGCCGGTGGTTAAGCAATACTATGTCGCGCCAAAGCAACAAGCTAGTATTCATTCTGCTTTGTCGGAATTTTATCGGATCATGCTAACATGCTCTAAATGAGAGTTTGGCTAATATAGCCCGCGGAGGGGTCGTTAAGCATAAGTATCGCGTTGGCAGTGCATAGATTGAGCAATAAAGCGATCGCGTTTAGAACTTAGTTTACATTGTGCTCAGCGCGAATCGCTCGCGTCGCCACGAAATGAAGCCATTTCACTGTTTTTACGCTAACCGCCGCAGGGCGGAGGTTTTCGTAGGCGAGGCCGCGCATTGTCGATCAGCACCGCTCATTTATCATCATCAATTTTGTAGGTCGCCCTGTTCGTAGTTTTACCGAAAAACGGGTTAGTTTGTACACGTGTTCTCGTGACGCATCTTGCGCGTCATCGATGACGTCTCAACCATCCGCTAACGTCTCGAATGTTGCGCGCGGGTATATTCTCCACGTAGCGTGTCGCGCTGCCCGAGTGCGTGCGTGCGCGTGCGGTCGTGCGGTCATGCGGTCGTGCGTGCGTAAGTGCGTGCGTGCGTGTGCCCGTGCGTGCGTGCGGTCGTGTGCGTGCGTGCGTGCGGTCGTGCGTGCGGTCGTGCGTGCGGTCGTGCGTGCGTGCGTGCGTTCGTGTGGTCGTGCGTGCGCGCGCGCGTGCGGTCGTGCGTGCGGTCGTGCGGTCGTGCGGTCGTGCGGTCCGGGGTCGTGCGGTCGTGCGTGCGTGCGTGCGTGCGTGCTTGCACGTAACGGACGCATACATATATGCTAATGCATAGCCGCGCGTGTAATACTGCCTATATCGTCTCATCAATGCAGCTTTCATGTACACAGAGCGATCGCTTATCATTGCTTGCTTTTTTCTTCCAAGTGACTTGCTTTGCTCCTAACCTTTATACTCAATTATTCAAATGTCTTTCTCTCTTTCTCTCTCTCTCTCTCTCTCGCGCTCTCTCTCTCTCGCTCTCTCTCTCTCTCTCGCGCTCTCTCTCTCAGTCTACTCTTTTTTTTCCACATTTTATTTGTAATTCTAAATCTTGTGTGTTTAATAGGTTAAGATAATAGGTGAATGACCATTAAAACTGCAGCCATAAAAACGATCTGCAGGCATACTGTAAACTTGTTAAGGACTGATAATTACTATTATCTACTGAGTTAGAGTGTAATTCTAGATAGTAGACAGCCGTCTATAGTAAGTTAAGGAGGCTAATATACAGCCAGAACAGAGGGGGCGGACAGGTGGGCAGGTTTGCGCATTGCGGCCTACGGATTT